AAAGCAAGCTACAAGACTCGTCCACTTTTAGAGATTGGAAATTTGTTTTGTATTCTTCACACAGCTTCTTAAATGTTAATATTCCTAGAGATTCCTACCTTTTCATTTTGCTTCATTAGCCTTATTTCTTCTTATACTATGAATTTTATGTCCTGTCTGTTGGTGAGATCCAGATCAATATGTTCTACATAGCCCAGTGTGTGTCAGAAACTGGTCTGACCATATACCAATCCTATTGTTTGTGATTTCTTCATGACTCAGATCTATTCCATTTCTTACTCCCCTAGATTAATTTAGCCCCCCAGTTCAATATCACCTTTTATTAGTCAACCTCCATCAAATTTCTCACATGACCTAATCATTTTATTTCTACACTTAAAATGTTTGCTGAAAACTGAGAAATGACTATTAAGTTGCAGGCAGCCATCTGTTTTGGTTATATAATAAGAGCCAAAGCCAGAATACGGGGGAGTTATGAGCAAGTAGATTATGTGAAAGAAGGAGTAGTAAGTTCAGGCTTTGGAGGGAGAAGAGGAGTGGAATTGTTCATCTTTATCTGACTATTTTTGTCTTATTTGTTGCTTCCCTAAACTGAAAAAGAATAAGAAACTATAAACATTGAATTAATATCATTTAAAATATGGTCCAGTTGATTAAAAAAGAAAAAGTGCTTTAAAGACAAGTTATTATAGTTGTGAAATTTTATTTATACTTGAAAATGGAAATTCAGGCTTTAATTTCATAATTACTAATGAATACACTTTACTATAAATAAGAATTGTGCTAGGTATTGTAGAGGTAGAAACTTAAGCTGATAATATGGGTGTCTCCTATCAGATTGCTTCTATTTAGCAGATTCTAATTGTTTTTAAGATAATTCAGACTTCATAGCATGTTAAATAAGATTTTTCAGTTTCATTTCATTCGGGTACTTTTTCTGATTGTAAAGTAGATATATTAAAATTTTCATTTGCAATTTTTTGCTCTAATTTTTATCAGTTTTGCTTTAAGATTTACCATTTCTTTTAAGACGTTATGTTAGCTTTCTATTACCGCAGTAAAATACCTGAGATGATCAACTTACTTTGGCTCACAGTTTTGGAGATTTTAGCGCATGACCAACTGACCCTGTTGCTTTGGCACAGTACATTGTAGTGGGAGCACATGGTAGGGAAAGCATTTTCACTTTGTGGCCTGATGTGAACAGAAAGAGAGGAAGAGACCAGGGTCTTACAGTCCCAATAGAGGGCAAGCCTGCATTGACCTAAAACCTCCCGCTAGATCTTACTTCTCAAAGGTCCACCCCTTCCCAGTAGTACTACTCTGTAAAGCAAGTCTTTAACAGCCTTTGGGGGGCACTTAGGATTCCAAAGTACAGCAGATGCTTTTTAAATATACTTATTTTAAAGTTGTTTCAGAAGGTTGCTCCATTATTTGCTTTTCCTTAATGTATTGAATTGTATTTATATAGTTGAATTTGTTAGCCTTTCTTTTATGATTTTAGTTTTGCTCATCATATTCATTTAAATTTTAATTCACAAGTTCATCTAGAGTCTGAACTACGTGCTCTCTTTTTCTTCCCACTACCTATATTTGACTCTTGCTTACCTGATAGATTTATTACCTTCACTGGCTCATCAGTTCAAAACATGGGTCTCTTTTTTACTGGAACCACAACTATCTCTTTTTCCTGAGCACTTTACACATTTCCAGCGTAGAAAGGAATTCATTCTCGACTTGAAGCAAGGGTGATGTCACAATGGACAGGGTGTTTCAACACATTTATACCATGCAGAGTGGCTGGGAGTAGCTGCAAAGGGACTATAGAAAAGGTATCTGAAGGAATGCAGGGATTTTGGATTCATAAGCAAATGATACAAATAATCCAATACATAAAACTAGAACTAAAATCAAGTATTTGTTCAAAGTTGTTCCATGGAACCATAAACTGTACTTGAAATACTTACCCACCACCTCCATCTCTTGGATTTACCATGAGGTGTAACTGGAGCTCTCCTGGTTAAAATACAAGGGCAACTAAAGAATAACATGATTGTGAGAGTTGATGAAGCCTAAGAAAAGACCAAGCAGCAGATAAGATGGAGTGTTATAGCGCGAGTCTAGCTGTTTTGTCATAAGCACAAAATTGAGGTTGCAATATTGATGGGAATATTTGTTTTAACTGTTTTGATAATTGTTTTAAAGTAGTTTCTCACAAAATATAAAATCCCTATTTTTGTTCATTGCCAAATAATGTGCCCAAAAGACACCTTTAACATTTCTGTCTCCCAAATACCCATGGAGTAAGAACTTTCCTTGCCTATTCTAGTCTCTTCCGTAATTTTAAGATATTTTATAAGTATGTATTAACTTTCATGACTATAAAATGTTTTATCTGTTATACCTAATTTAGTATCTAAATGTAATGTATCCATAAACCATCAACATACTTAGCTATCACTATAAAATTCTTCAGTGTAGATATGTTGAAAATTGAAAGCTACTTGAAATTTAATCATTGATTTCTTATGTAATCTGAAATTTAGAGTAAGGGATCATATTGTAGCCCTGTCTTCTACTCTCCTAACTATTTGTTACAAAACCCAGTCACTTACTGTTAGAGAAGCCTGTATAGAGCAGAGAATGCCTTCCTCTACATTTTTTTTTTTGTACCAGGGATTGAACTCAGGACCTTGCACTTGTGAGGCAGGCGCCAAAACCACTGAGCTAAATCCCCGGCCCTTCCTCTACATTCTTAAGCACAAAACAGAGAACAGCAGTAAGCTAGCAAATCTTAGTTAAAAATAAATGGCCATTTTATGTGAACTTCAAAACCTTGCAAAACAGTTCTAAGATGATAGAGTTCAGAAAAAGCATTATCTTTGGGAATTGAATGTTGAGTCTGAAGACCACATGAGGTAAACTTTTAGGATGGGGGAAATGTTCAATATTTTTATCCTGGAAGTTGTCTTATAGTGTATACATAAGTAAAAATTCATCGACATGTATATTTATTACAGAAAAAAATAAGAGAGAAACAGGAATTTGAGATGTAGGCTATTTAAGGTATATTTGAATTATTGAAGTATTAGCAGACATATTGCTTAAGATAAATGATAGTCTTTTTCTCCCATTTACTACTTTCAACAATAAAAGATAATTTTTAATTACATAGAATTAAATGTAGTCATGTAATATATTTAAAGTTAAAATGTAAGGACTCCTTACTGTTAGCAGTTGCCTTTTCAGATCTTTCCTAAATGTACAGTAATAGTCTTTAAACATTCAAAGTTTTAGTAGGATCAAACTATGTTATTCTTAAACTTCCTCCCTTTCCTACCCAACAGCATATAAATATATACCCTTTAATGTTAGAGTACTGATTCCCCAGATTCTGTTTAATGATTACATAGTCCTCTATAGTATGTTTATATTGTAATATATTTAGCAGCTTCCCTAGACATTTCAGGTTATAGTTAACTTTTTGCTAATGCAAGCAACTTTATGATAAGCTTTTTTAAAGTGTCTATATTTGTGTTTTTTAAATTATTACAGGATAATTGCAGAACTAGGATTCCTAGGTTAAATTTTATTAGCTGCTACAAATTTACCCTTCAGTTCAGGCGGCAGTGTACCACATTCTTCTCAACAGCAGATGTTATCAACTTTTAAAAATGTTTGCAGACCTGATAGACAGTAATGGAATCTAATTTTTTAAAGTTGCTTTTCTTTAATCACTTCTAGAATTGAGCATCCTTTCTTATGATAAGTATTAAAACAGGGTGTGGTAGTGTATGCCTAAAGACGGGATATAGCTCAGCGTGAAGGTCCTGGGTTTAATTCCTTGTACCACAAAAATAATTTAGTTTTGTTTCTTTTTTTCTTCATTTTGTATTTCCTATTTCATGTTGCTTTTCCAGAGGTCTTTGTTTAGAGCACTAGTTTTTTCCCCGTTACGTGTGGTCCAAATACCTACTCCCAATCTATCTATATCTATCTTTTATCATATAAAATTATAAACTCTTATAGTGCTTTCATTTTGTATTTTGTTTAAGATCATTTCTAGGAAAATCAAGTGTGTTCTATTTTCTCCTAGTTTAATTATAGTTTTAAACTGTTAATCATTCATGAATTCATTTTGTTAGCTTAAAGTATTAACATGCATTTTCCCTTAATAAGTAGCAATTTTTTTCATAAATCACTGAAAAGTCCTGTCCTTTCCTTACAATTTGAAAAATCGTAATAGTATTATGAGTGATTAAAGGTTATAAAAACATGTTATTTTTCTTCCACATGCAAGGAGGATGTAAATTTTGAGAAAAGGTTCAAGAATGTAGAGTAGGGCTTTCTAGAAAGGGATGAAAGTGTGGTTACCATGGGAACTAGTGCTAAATTGAATAGGATCAAAAGTATAGGTGACGTGGAATAAGGATAGACATAGGACAAACAAATATGTATAATAATTCCATGAATAAGCACAGTGAGTCAATAGACATATGCAAGATGACATTAAAGAAAATCTTGAGCTTTTTAGAAAAAGATTTATTTTGACTTACTGTCTATGGCACAGGAATCACCATTAGCCGTTTATGTAGAAAAATGTTTACATGAGCCCTTTTTGGTTAACATCAGATTTAAGTATACCTCTCGAATTTAATCATAGCTTATATATCTAATGCCATTAAAATATAAAAAGCATTTTCAGTTGTGGAAAAGTCTGGGTATTTGATGTGTACAAACTGTGATTCAAGAAAAAGACTACTAAACATAAAATTTCACATCCAGAGGAAAAATATTTTCTAGAACATTAGGTTCGTGTGTAGAGACAGTGGCTGTGGTGTTCTCTTACTGGACTAAATTTGAAATATTTTGGATATGGGGATGTCAGTATCATTTTAAAATTATTGACCTGTCATTATAATTGAAAATATTATTTTATTAATTATCTTCTATCTTTTCTTTCCTCCATCTGTGTCCTTCTCTTTTCTCTTTTGTTTCAGATCACACATCAGTTGGTGGTCTGGGAGACAGTTTTTATGAATATTTACTGAAAGCGTGGTTGATGTCAGATAAAACAGACCACGAGGCAAGAAGGATGTATGATGATGCTATTGAGGTGATTATTGTCAGAATATTTTCTACTTAATACATTGAATATATAGTTACTTCATAATGGCTAGACAAATATAACCATTTTATTGTATGCATTCAGGAAATACATATTATATGTAAGGATTTTATTAGATGATACCTTCACTATAGACTTTGTATCTATTTTAATAAATAATCTCTATGTTACATTTTCTTTCATGACATTTTAGAGATTGTTGAAGGAAGAATTTAGTGTTAATATATTTATGAAAATGTATTTTAGTTACTTTTAGTTAATGCCTATAGAGACTGGAAAAACTTCTGACTTTATATACATTTCCACAAATATTTTGTCTTTCAAATGATCACTTCAACCTACACATTGAGAACTTGTGAGTGAATAATAATGGCAACACACTTAAATAGGACTTCCGTGTGCCACACACGGTTCTAACCCTCTTTACATGCGTGAGATCAGATGATCATTCTCCCCGCTTCACACATGAGAACCCTGAGGTGGAGTGAGGTGTAGGGATTTGTTGACGGCCACTTAGCTGGTGAATGATGGGTCCAGGGACTGAAGAGTCTGGCTGCAGACCTTGCTCTTTTAACCTCTGTATTGTACTGTTTCATATTTATGTAATCTCATATTACAGTCTGGGGACAGCTTACACTTGGAACAGTAGTTATTCTAGGATGAGCTTATATGGGACATTTCTAGGCAAAAACTGCAAAAATGAAAAATATGTTAACCATGTAGTAAGTTTTAGCTTCCCTGTTTCATTGTAAACCCATTATCTTTGTAATGATTTTAATTATTTATCTGGTGTATTTTGTATAACAGTACCATTCTAATATAGTCAGTAATCAGTTTTCACCATTATAGGTTTTTTAATTAAATTACTTATTGTCCTTTTATATACTTTTTTAGAGTCCTAATTACATTTTTTTTAAAACACACTTTATTTTTAAAACTTCATGAAAATTGGGCTTTGTGGCACACAGCGCTTTGTACATATTGATCAGTAAATGTTTGGAGTGATTGTGTTGACTAGTAAATTGAACAAAATTAAGGTACAGTCAGAAATGTCAATTTCAATGTGATTTCTCAAAATTTTTATGAAGTCTTAAATTTTGAAAATTTGGATAGTTTCATTCTTTGTTGCTAAAATTTAAACCTAGAAATGTTTATGATTCAAAAAAGGTCTTTATCTAGGAAAAATCATGCAGTAGCATCCAAAGCAAATGTCTGCATTTGAGAAGTGAAGGACTAAGGAGTTAAAGAATAAGTAACTTTCACCTAGTTTTGAAAGTTTTATAATACGTAAGATGGCTAACCTAATGGTGCCTTTTTAAATTACTTTGCCAAATAGCATAGTTACACGGAAAATAAAGAACCATTTAAACTAATTATTGAAAATCATATTTTCTTATTAATTGGCCATTCTTCCTATTCAGGTTTTGTTGTATGAAATAGAAAATGAATTAATAAAACTGTCTTATAACTTCTCATGATCTTAGTTGATTGATTATAAATTTCAGGTGGACAAAGGCTACAATGGACGATGCTATGTAGAATGATACTTGAGGCCCAACTCTCCTTTCCCACTAGAGTGGCAGTTGGGATATTTTTTTTGGCCATATACAATTTGATCACTCATTCCAAAACTTTCTTACTGTAATTTAAATCTCCCAGTTTGAAAAAGTTAATATTTTATAGGATATTACCACGTTTTTGTGACAGCTAGAAATATATGTTTGAACACTAACAATTTACTTCTAAAATTTTGACTATTTTCTCTTTCTTGTAGGCGATAGAAAAACATCTTATTAAGAAGTCCCGAGGTGGTCTTGTCTTCATTGGAGAATGGAAGAATGGGCACTTGGAAAAGAAGATGGGCCATTTGGCCTGTTTTGCTGGGGGAATGTTTGCATTAGGAGCAGATGGTTCCAGAAAGGATAAAGCTGGTCATTATTTAGAGCTCGGGGCAGAGATTGCGCGCACATGTCACGAGTCATATGACAGGACTGGTAAGAATGTTAATGAGGCTAATGACTTAGTAAAAATAACCTCTAATTGTAGAAATGTGACCGGGGATTAAGAAGAAAGTATATAGGTACTTTTCACTTCAAAATAGTTTACACTATCACAGTAAATTACCTTCCCCCCTATACCCGGGAGTGAACTTAGGACCTTGTGCTTGCGAGGCAGGCTTGGAACCGCTGAGCTAAATCCCTGGCCCTATAGTAAATCATTTTTAAAAGAAATTTAATTTCAGAAATGTGCTTTTAGATATGTGTTCTTGCTTGCCTTCTCCCTCCCTCCCTCTCTCTTTTCTCTCTCTCTTTCTCTTTCTCTCTCCTCTCCTTTCTTTTCTTTCCTTTTCTCCTTCCTTCCTTCCTTCCTTCCTTTTTTTCTCCCCCCACCCCCTCTTTCTTTCTACTGGGGATTGATTAAAATCAAGGCCGCTTCACTGAGCTATATCCCTTGCCTTTTGTAAAACATTTTTATTTTGAGGCAGGCTCTCTTAATTTGCCCAGACTGAGCTCAAACGTGTGATTCTCCTGCTTCAGCCTTCTAGAGTGCTGGGATTACTGGCATCCACTACTACACCCAGCACCTGCATATTGCAAAAATGCTGAACTCTGCTGGGTTTTTTTTCTTAATGATTAGAAGTAATTGTTTTAAAGATGAGAGACAGAATATTTGGAGATGTATGGAATAGCATTACTTTAATAAAATAATAATTTTAGCCATTCCAGCTTCTATAAAGCCAGTTACTTAAAAGAACACAAAATAGAGTGACTTAGGTTTCATGGTCTTGCTTGTACTCTTGTGAAAATAAGAATAACCAGACGACAACAGTAGTTATCTAATTGGTAGTTTGTCTTTTACTCAGTTCACTAATAACTTTTAGAGTTATTTGTTCCTTTCACTAAAATGATCCTCTAACATTGCTTTAAGAAAATAGATAATATTTTCTGAATTTTAGTTATCTTTACCTGGAAAATGAAATTGTTCTTAATGGTGACAAAAATTGATTTCTGGGAAGTGAAAAAAAATTCTACTCTTCATGTTTAAAGTACAGATATGCATGGAGTCAAATACATATTCCTTGTATATGTGTTATCAAATTTTCATGGAAGAAGAAGGCAATTAGGCCTTTTTGAAAAACCTAAAAGGATTCTAGAGATACACTAATGAAAAAAAAATTAAGAAACACTGGACTAGACTGTCCATGGTTTTGTCTATCTTTACAAATAGCTATTTCTATATTATGCAGTGAGTAATGAGTTCTCTGAAAACCTTAAGAGATAATAATCTATGAGTGTTTTCAAAAGTTGTATTCTTTTTATGAAATAACTGAATTTTTCTTGTAGGGTTAACTTGTTCTTGAAATAATGATTAGCTTAAAAGTTTATCCTAATTCATAAATCTGTGAAGTTATTTTTATACAGTAAGGAATTGAACTTCTGATGAAATTGACCCTTCAGTTTTCTCATTAACCAAATCATTGGTTACATTTCTTTAAAAAAATATAAATCAAATGAACCCTGAGGCGAAGTTCTTTTAGGGTAGTTTAATGTTGATGTCTAATATAGGTAAAGTCAGTGATCTGCATTACTAATGAGCAAAATTGTCATGTTGATGATATGAAGTATTTATTATATGCGTAAAAACTTAGCTAAAATTAGTAAAACATTGAGGACCAGAATGGATAGTCATTGTTTATATTAGTGACCATGATAATTAGGCTTGTTGTAATACAGGTTTTGACCATCTATCAAAATGATCTAAAATAGTAGAATTTAATGTAGCAGATATACTAAAATATAATCGTTATAATTTTTATTTATTTATTTATTTTTGGTACTAGGGATCAAACTCAGGACCCTGCGCTTTCAAGGCAGGCAGTGGAACCACTGAGCTAAATCCCTGGCTAATTGTTATAATTAATCATTTATTCCATTAAACCTAAACTCATTATATGCTATATGTTATGTTGGATGCTTACAGGTTAAAGTGTTAGATACATTCCTAAGAAATTCATAGAATGCTGAAGGTATAAAAGGGTTCTTTTATTGTTCTAACATTTGCATTTCATAATGGCATTTCTGACATGGTATTTTAAATTTACTCATTTTGTAGAACAGTGACAATAAAAATAAAACAAAAGTTACTTAATGCTCCATTCTTTCAGGGGAGTTAGCTTTTGAAAACAAATACAAGGGCTTTATTTTGTTCATTGATTTCTTCTGTCATGTTGTAGCATTAAAACTAGGTCCTGAGTCATTCAAGTTTGATGGTGCAGTGGAAGCTGTGGCTGTCCGACAGGCTGAAAAGTATTACATCCTCCGACCAGAAGTAATTGAAACCTATTGGTACCTGTGGCGATTCACTCATGATCCAAGATACAGGCAGTGGGGCTGGGAAGCAGCATTGGTAAATAAGCCAATATTTCATTTTATCTACAAGAATATTAAATCAAGCCCTCCTATAGTGCCATGTGTCTTTATCCATGTTACTTCATTTTGAGAGACTCTAGGGCAGTTTTCATTTCTCTGATGAAGAAGCTGTTAGTCAATTTAAGTTTCTTGAGCAGTAGAAACAAACCTTGAATCCTGTTTTGTTCTGTATTTAGAAATCCCTTTTAGCAGTAGTCACTCACTCTTAGTGAATAGCTATGGTTTCTTAAAAGGCAATTTTTAGTACAGTTACAAAAGAAGTAATTTAACTTTCTATCCATTTATTTTCTTATTTAGCAGTACTTGGGATTGAACCTAGTGCCTTTGCAGGAGCTACATCCCCAGCCCTTTTTAAATTTTAAGACAGGATCTCATAAAGTTGCTAAGTTGCCCAGGCTGGACTTGAACTTGGGAGCCTCCCAGAGTCCTAGGATTGTAAGCATGCATCCTCATGCCTGGCTTCTAAACTGTTTTCTTAATACCTAACCACTGGCGAAAAAAATTAGCCTGGGCAGGTGCCCCCTGTTTACTTCACTTGTGTTCTGAGTTACTTCTTAGCAGATCACTATAAGAAGAATCAGAAAACTAAACTTGTTCTGGAATGAAAGACAAAAGGTACACACATTTGGAATTAGAAATTTTTAAGGGTTAGTAAGTAAAGGAAGTAAGCTGTTTACTCTTTGAGTAATTGGACTTTCAAGGAATTCCATGGCTCTTAGTACTCGGAGAGGAAAAAACCATTAGTCTTCCATGAAAATATAGCTTATTCCTGGAGAATATTTTATTTTCTCAGATTTACTAGTTAGAATAAATTGTACTAGTTATGAGTATTCATATTCAAATTGTTTAACTTAAGCCTTCAGTCTAGATACAGTGATTGAAGATATCACTGGTAAAATAAATTGTCCAGATAAGAATGTGCAAAAATATGTTTTAGGGCAAGACATACACCAGTTTATATAAAGGAAATGTTTCACAGTGGCACAGTTGGATCCATTACGAGGACAGCCTTACATGCAAGTCAAGGGTACTTGCTCTACTTAGTTGTTCAGAAATAAGACAACATACACACAGGCACACTGATACACACCCCTCAATAACTTTTATCAGTTACTACCCAAGTGTCTTCCTAGAGAAAGTGGTGCTTCGGGCCGGGGATTTAGCTCAGTGGTTCCGCCGCCTGCCTGGTAAGTGCAAGGTCCTGAGTTCAATCCCTGGTACCCCCCTCCCCCAAAAAAGTGGTGATACGAAGACCTTTGCTTATCTCGAAGCCCTTTAGATCTTTTTTTTTTCTTTCCATTTCCTCTCTTACTTTGACAATCTGTTGCAGAACTGCTGAAAGTTTTTCAAAGGGGAAGAAACTACTGCAGGCTGTATTCAGTGGGAAATAACAAAGAAAAAGGATCTGTTTATAGTCCACAAATTGTTGAGTTTTGGAGACTACCTCAATAATCTAGGAGTAATGTGATGTCTTAAACTAAAGTAAGGACACTGGTGAGTCTTTTGTCATTCAGACCTAGGTTAACTCCCATGGACTTTAACTACTACGGGAGAGTATTAATAGAATCAAGGTGGTTATACAGAATAGGAGCAGACGCAGCATTTTTGATGCTGCTTTTCCTTGGCTTCCTGAGGGTAAAGTTGAGAAAACAGCTGCTAGTGAAATTCTGTGGGAAGGTCCTGCTGCAATTAAGAAGACAACCAAATTGTTACCACAGAGGTTTGGGAATAGAAAGCATACATGCATCTGTTGTTAGCAGTGGCCTACTCATGTTTGCATAAACCAAGTAATATTTTATGTAAGAGAAATAGATTCGCAAAGTAGTCCTCTAATGAGTCTCTCGTGGGTTTTTTTTTTTCTCTTTTTCTTTCTTTTTGGTACCCAAGATCAAACTCAGGACTTTGCACTTGCAAGGCAGGGCCAGTGCCACTGAGCTAAATCCCTGGCCCTTATGAGTCTCTTTGACTTGAATGCACCCCAATATTTAATAGTTTTTATTCAAAGGAATGAGGGAGACATATCTGAATCTTGTGGGATGGGGTTTCTTTATGGTAATAGTAGATGCATGTCTTGTCATTGCGAAACACTTAGGACAATTAATGCTTTTCTTAAAGTTCTTTTCTCCTGTGTGCTTTCCTAAAATACACCCCTACTCTTATTTGTTAGGAGGTTTGATAAGCTCAAACTTTAGCCCATATCAAACCAAATTTTAATTACAGGAGTTAGAATACTGGTTTTACAGATTATATAGAGCACACAAACTCAAAGTATAAGCTGACATACTGAAATAATTACGTCCTAAATTCAAATTTGGAAAGTATGACATGAGAAGCCTCACATCTTATGTACTGTTTATTTGTGTATCACCACTGACCTCTCTGTTGGGCTTGAAGAAAGTAAAAGAAAGGGAGGGTGAGACACAGTTCTGATGTATCATCTCTTCTGTAGCTTTAGCTATTCCTCTACATATGCAGACTTCCACACTTTAGTGTAAAACTTGCCCTCAAGAAATGACTCAGAATGACTTAGAAGATTGGCTGGCTGGCTGCTACATTCTCTGTTCTGATAATTCAGAATGAATTATGAAGACATCATTGTGAAGAACAGTACTTAAAACTCTTGCATTCAAAATATATTTAATATGTTGAGAAACATAAAAGCATCAAACTCTTTGAGAAGAACACTTTAAAGCCTACCTATAAAATAAATTTTGATTAAGCACATTTCAGTATTAGTTAACTTTTTATTAGAAAAGAAGATCAGGGAGAGAAAGAAAAGTAGCAAAACTAGAAACAATAAACTATGGCAGCAATGATTAGTTAAATAACCATCCCTTTGTCAAGGTTAGGGAGAGTAGAGAAAGAACCGCAAATGCTTTCAGCTTTTCATGAATGATTTAATTTTAATGATAAGCAGAATATTTGTTTGCTTTGAGTTTAAAATAGAGTGTGACTAGATTCCATTTGATTCCATATAGTTTATTTAGCATATCCAAAGATAAAACAGGAAATATAAATTTAAAATCTTAACTCCCATTCAAAGAGTAGAGCACAGAAGTTTGTAAGGTGGAGTAAATTACTCTGCTCAACTTTTCCATCTGAGAAGTGTAGTTATTAACCTCCTAGAATTGCTGTAAAATGTAAAATTTTAGTGCATGTAAAGCTCTTAAAGTAGCTTTCAGCACAGTAAGTACTTCAGAATTGTTAACTCTTAACTTGTAAATATTATACCAGATAGGTAGATGGGCTCTTCCTGCTACTTGGTACTACCTGTGATGCCTAACTCATAGAATTATGGTAATACAAAATCTGGCATAGAGTATGTTTGCAGTAATATCTCTCATTACTCTTATTACAGAGAACTCCTAAGTAATGTTTGTTACTATGTTGTAGATTATTACTTGTCTTTGCAGATGATAAAATCAGATTTTTTACTCAAACAGACCTCTGTCTTGATTTGTCAGGATTAATAAGGTTTTATTGTGCCAGAGAGGTACCTAATTCAGAAAGAATAAATAAGACAAACCTGTGTTAGGAAAACATAAGCTGTCATAGAAAGATGAGAGTTATATTAGCAAGAGAGACTCTGGTATAAGTTCACTTTTCAGAAAGAGTACAGATATTCCTTGTGTAACGACCTACTTGTTTAACAACTTGTTCAGACTCAGATTTATGATCTGTCCTTTTTTTGTACAGTTGTATAGAGCCTCAGTGTCTTTTTTGGTACAGTACACCTTGTTTATACAGTACTGTATTTTTGCTGATTGTACTGTACAGTAGTGTAGTTTTATGTTCTATTATGCATTACAGTACTGCATATAAGTGTTATGCAAATAAAAGCAAAGTCATCACATTGGAGTTTCATTTGACCATTTTTTTGTTCTGAATATTATACATAGTATATACAATTTAGTGACCAATTAATTTAATGACCTAGTCGCAGGACCAAAATTTTGTCATTAAATGAAGAATATCTGTATTTTCATTTGATACAGTATTATCCTTAGGCTTAATATATTGTTAATTAAAGAATAATTACTATATTCTTTAGTCAAATTTTCATACAAATACCTACAAACTTTTGATTGTGATTCTTTCCTTCAAAACTTGAAGTCCATGGAATTGATTGTTTTGTCTGATCTCTTTTACAGGCTATTGAAAAGTATTGCCGAGTCAGTGGTGGGTTTTCTGGGGTCAAAGATGTATATTCCTCTACTCCTACACATGATGATGTACAGCAGAGCTTCTTTCTCGCTGAAACATTAAAGTAAGTTTTAAAATTTTAAAGTTTGAAAGGAAGCTTTAAAATTTTTTAGCCAGTGTGGTGGGGCACATGCCTATAATCCCAGCACTCAGGAGGTTGAGGCAGGAGGATGAGTTCAAGGCTAGCCTGGGCTACATAGTGAGTCTATAGCTCACTATAGACTGCATAGCAAGACCCTGTCTCAAAAAACAAAAACAAAAAAATGAAACAAAACATTTTAAGGTTAAATTTATTTTTAAACCAGTACATAAAAACATAAAAATTAATGGAGATATAAACAATGTTTTAATACATATATACATTATATAATTTTAGCAGGTTAAACATGCCTGTCTCCACACATTTATCAATTTTTTTATAGTCACATCTTTCGATAGTCTTTCTGCTATCTTTTAAAAATATATAGTAAATAACTGTTATTTATGATTATCCTACAGTACAATAATACACCCAAACTTCTTCCTCCTAACTGTAATTTAGTACCCATTGGTCAACTATCCTCTACTCTCCTCAGCCTCTCGGCTTCCATGCTATCACCTTTTGGAAATGACAAACTTTTCTTCTTTTTTTTTGGTACCCGAGATCAAATTCGGGACCTGACCCTTGCAAGGCAGACGGCGGAACCACTGAGCTAAATCCCCAGCCTGCTATCACCTTTTTTAGATTCCATGTACAAGTGAGATCATGTGGGGTTTTGAGTGTAAGCCCAAAATTGTCTTTTCTCTTGTGTATGTCATTTAACATACTGATTGATCTTTAATTGCATCCATGTTTTTGCCAATGACTGGATTTCATTGTTTTTTTATAGCTAAGCAGCATTCTCCTTTATATACCACATTTTCTTTATTTATTAAAATACATTTATTGTAGGCTGATTTTGTGTATGATTTCTAGATGATGAATTATAACTATATGATATGTTACACTAAATTTCATTACAAATATTTTATATGATTAGATCTGTAATCTTCAGCTGTATCTCAGAAAGAATGATTGGACTCTAAGGCAGGTAGTTTATCAAAGAAGTGTTTAGTACCTTTATTTTGTTCTTTGGAGTATGTTAGCATCACCTGGAAGGCTCCTAGAAACAGACTGAGTGAAACTTGGGAATCTGCGTTGCTGACCTGCTACCTGATGACACTGAGGTGCTGCCCTGGGACCACACCTGAGCTTTCTGCTCACTGAATCTGTCAGGAATTATCATGAGTTCTGATAGTACTAAGAGATTATGACCATAGCCAGCCATCGTTCCGCAGAAGTTTCCTCATACACCTAAAGGGAACAATGAAAATGCAGAAACGCAATTTGGGCTTGTACTCAAGACCCCAAGTAGAGGTCTCTGTAATCTAACCTAGAAGGAGATGCAAACCTTAGTTAACTATATCTACTGTCCTACAGATTTGCAGAGTGAAATCTCTTCATACCATCCTGTAGATTTTATATTTCTATTTCCTGTGTATCTGTACATTAATGACCCCTAAGCACTTCATTTGTTCAACAAATGTTTATTGCCGCATACTGTAAAAGTTACTTGTGCTTGCATCAGAAGACAAAAAGGACAAAAATTCCTGCTCTCCTCAATTTTATATTCTATTATAGCTTACATTCTGCTGTTACAATTGAAATATACATATCTCAAACTAAGTTTTTATCCTAAATGTCTGTATTATTCCAGTTTTTCTTTTACTACTGCTGTCACTGTTTTCCTTCTCTTTAGCTCGTGTGTTTTAGAGTTGTTGCTAAACAACTTTCCTTCTCATAAATCACTAAGTCTGTATGGTTCTACCTTGTTGATTTTTCATTTTGTCCCCTCTTCCATATCCACAGTTGACCTTTATCCAGCTTTGCTGCTGAGATAGTTTAGAATATCTTACCTGGTACTAAGTTTCCTCCTCCTAGGTATTTCTAGTTGTGATTTATCCTGTGATTGGGCTTGAAGTCCTATAAGATAGTTCTAAGAGTACTAGATTAGAAGACAAAGTTATAGGAGCTTTAGTTATTCACTTGCTACAGTCTAGTTGAATGTACATGTAAAATAAATCTCTTGGCTTTTAGTTACATATCTGTAGTCTGTGGGATTTAACCCAGATTATTATCCCAGTCTTTTTTTTTTTTTTAATTTTATGACTTGAGGAAAACTGTAAGATAGTGAAATAAAAATGTGTGTAATCTTCACCTAGGTTTATCCAAGTTTTGCTACCTTTTTTTTTTTTTTTCAGTGTTGGGGATACAACCACCTAGACAGGCACTCATTCTGTACATATGCATATCATTTTCCCATTTTTAGACATTATTTTCTGGACAACTTGAAAATTAGTTACTGTACTTTCATTATAATATTTCCGCAGTAACCTTCAAGAAAACAGCATCATCCTACATAGTCACAATGCAAGTTGTCATAGTTGAGAATTTTAACATTCATAAATACTGTTTGTTATATAATATATACTCCATTTTCAGATGTCTTCAGTTGTTCCAATAATATACTTTGTAATTCTTTAACCTCAATCTAGAATCCCTTGCAAGATCATTGTTATATTTAATTGTCATGTCTCTTTAGCCTTCTTAATCTAGAACAAAGTTTCTCAGGTAAAATACAAAGTATTCAGTCTAGTTACTTTGAATATCCCATAGATTTTTCTGATTATTTTCTATAGGTCATATTTAGGTTAGATATTTTGGGCATGAATATTATATAAATAATGTGTGCTTATATAGACATACATGCTTGTTATAATTACATTCTCTGAAGTGGCATGTAATAATAATTTAGCCTTTTACTGGTGATTTTAAGTTTGATTGTAGGTAAATCAAAGGTCATGTAAACAGTCTTTTCTTTTAAAATTAATAAGCTATCTGTGAAGTGATGACTTGAGTGAGCAATATGTGAATATCCTTTTTCCAATAGTCTTTCACCTAGGATTGTTAGCATCTTTGCTTGAAATCATATTACTATACTAGTGATAAGATAGCCCTGAAAATTGATTTCCATCATTCATATGCCACTTCCTTGCTCAGAAGCTACAATTCATTTATCTCTCTAGCTTTATTTCTCTTGTCTTGTACTTGATTCTATACTTAAGCTAACCTAATGTACATTCAGATACTCAGATAAGTAAAAAATGTCCTTTTGGATTTCTTGTCTATTTTATATTTCACTACCTCTGATAGAAATGCCTTTACCCTTTCTGTCAATTAATGCCTCTCATTTGTAAAGTCAGTTCAAGTCTCACCTCTTACAGACTGGCTTTTATAATTAATTTGTAAATGCTTCATTAGTACGGATTTTGAGCACTTTAGCAGATGGCATAGATCTGGAAAAAGATGATATGCTGCCTCATCCCTTTTCAGTATCTATATAGACTATCATCTTTATACTTTTCTCTGCCACATTCAGGCAGAATCTTTGCTGACACAGCATTACTGTAGGTAACCAGTCATTTATATTTGCTTTCAGTGAAACACATATATTCATGTATGTCAGCAAAAATGAAAAAGGCCAAATATGAAACATAATGGCTGGCTAAGAAAATTATCATAGTTGAATACTATGTTCATGATTGAGCTTCCTTGCAGCTAAAAGCAAAAAGAAGTCCCATACAATGTCATTCTCATCTTTGGGAGTCTGGAATGCCTATTATTTTGAGAAAGGAGACAAAATTTTTAAATTGTGATTTAAATTGCATGACTCATTATTTTAAAAATTGAACTATTGAAGAACCTTATAAAACATGTTTTAAAATGTTAAAGACATTTCTTATTGCTCAATCTAAATATCTTCAATCAGTGATATTACACAAGGTAAAAAACATTCTTTATTTGACTTTTATTTAGAATAAAGTAATTTCTGTGAAGATCTAAATTAATTTAAGTGTAGATTTATAGTTTCTTATTATAACAGTACAGTTTAAACCAGGCCTGCTAACACCTGTAATCCCAGCATTCTGGGAGGCTGAGGCAGGAAGATTTTTAAAGCACAGCCTAGGTGAGTTAGCAAAATAGTGAGACCCTGTTGCAAAGGACTGGAGACATTGCTCAATGCAAAGGTGTTGCATTCATTCCTCAGTACCACCGAGACAGAGAGAGAGAGAGAGTTAAAACTTTATCCAGAAATTCAAGTTAATAGGACTTCTTAAATTTTTCTGAAATATTAGGCTTTTTTCAGAAGCTGACTTTTAAGATTATGTATCCTATCAAGTGATTGGAATTTGTTATGAATTCATTAAAAGATAGCAATTTGATATTTTAGTTACCAGAGGTGAAACACAACTGATTAGTATGGCAGTAGCAAAATTAAATAAAAACTCTTTATGTTCTTGACCTTAGTTGAAAACCATTTGCCTTTGATGGTGTAGTTAAGAGTTAGCTGTTACTATTGATAATACTTGTTCTTCAAAAGATTATGGAGTATATACTGTTTCTTTGGTTTCCTTCAGTAGACCCTAATTTGTGTATTAATTTAGGATATATATTGGTGGCATAACAAAAACTATATAATGAGGAACATAAGAGATAGGTTTCTTCAAAGCTTCTTTCCTTAAAATTTTCAGACTCCACTACAGGAAATCAAACATATGCAGTATATACAATAAATTTTAAATATATTAAGTGCATAAGAGTTAACAAATTCAAGTGTTTAGAGGAAGAAGAGTTTGCAATCATGGAAATAGTGGCATTCTAACCAGACTTAAAGCAAAGATGGCCTCTAGAGGTGGAATTTACAGGCCTTATTAGATAGAAGGATAAACCTACTATGTAAAAAGGAAGAACTAAAGGTAATATTAAAGTTTCCATGTGGTTAACTGTAAAGATTTTGACGCCAAGTTTCAAGAAGAAATGGGTTTTCAGAAAAAACAATTCTTTTGACATATATTCCCAAGAGGCAGTTATAAATACAGACCTGGAGCTCAGAAGAAAACTTCAAAAAGACTCTGAGTGATAGGAGAAAAGAAGACCTACATTTGATTCTTTGATGATGCCTCTATCTAACAAATGAAAAGGAA